TCGACCTCCTCGCCCGCGCGCGCCGCTGGCATCGGCACCCGCTGGAGCACCCCCTGTCCCGCAGCTGCTGTCTCCGCGTGCCTGGCGGGCTTGCGGGCGCCCCCCAGCCCCGCGTTGTCGCGCCGCGGCAAGGGGGGGCCCCTGTCGAAATCCACAATTTCCTGCCGCAGGTCGAAGCCCGTGCCCAGCATGTAGCACTCGCGGCATCCCAAGCTGCAGCCCTTGAATATTGCGCCCTGCTTCGCTAGTTCTCGCGCGCCCCAGCGTGGCCTGTCAGCCGCCCACCCGCGAAGGCGAGGCGCTGCGGCGGGAACCAGCTGCGGTCGTCGCGGCGCAGCACCGCCCACAACTTGACGAGGCGAAGCCGCGTCACCCTGGCAGGTGCCGCGCGAGGTCCTCGCCCGCGCGACCATCCGCCCCAGGGCCGCGATCAACGCGTTGGGAAACGGTGCCCCCCTCGTCGTCGCGCCCACCCCACACCGAAAAACATCTCAATGTTTGCGGCCACCTGCTGGGCCTCAGGTCGAGTGGACAGCTTGACGGCTCACCTCAGCCGCGACGCGACACTTTCGAGCGAACCGGGTCCCCGCCATCGAACGGGCCTCAGGCGGCGGCGGGGCTTCGGCCGCTCTTCGGCTGGCAACCATCCTGACGAACGCCGCGGCATCCTCCAGCAAGGCTTGGCCAAAACGGCCGTGGAAACCCCTTAGCCATGTCTGAACTGGCCTTTCGGCCACCGCCTGATCCACGCATTTCTTCAGTGGCCGCCGCGCCCCATCCAAAATGCAATGGCATTCTCCCGAATTCGGCCTCCCCCGTTTGCAGCGCCGCGCGCGGGCCGAGGAGGTCGCACTCATGACGCACCTTGCTGACCCGCCAATGCGCGGCGTCGAGGGCGCACGGCCAAAGGGCCGCGTGCCTGAGCCCAGGGAACGGGCAGCGCGAAGGGATGCGCAGTCGGCACACGGGGGCGAGTCCTCCGATGGGGCCAAACTCAGTCAACGCCACTACTTGCGGGTCTTGTATGTTCACATGGAGTTGCTTTCTCGCGAGTTCGATTCCGATGGGCTCCAACATGGCCCCAAAAGGGGCCGATTAGACGGCCCCGAGAGCGCCCAATAGCACCCCACGAGAGCCCCCAAAGGGCCCCAAGACCCCAAGTGTCGGGCCGATCTGAGGGGGCCTTACTTGAGAAATCTGCTTTCTTTGACCAGTGCCCTCCAAGATTGCCTCAAGAGCGCCCTCGTGGCTCGAGAAAGGGCCCGATGACCCCTCCCTCCACACTGACTCAATATGAATACTACTCTCCCTCTTCCCCTGATGGCGTGCTGGGAATATTCGACCCCTCGCTGTCTTCGAGCGCCGCAGCAGTGTTGCCAGCGCCGGCTTCGAGGGTCGCGCAGATCTTGGCTGCCACGCTCGCCGCGCACCGAGTTCTTCCCCAGCGCCAACCAATTCGTCAAGTCTCGAATGGCCGCCGCCGCGCCCAACTCCGCGCATGCCTCCCCCTGCGCGACGCCCCCGTAAACCGCGGCCTGGGCGCGGACACGACCGCGCGGCGCGTCTTCGCGTAGGTGTCCGCACAGTCAGTCCGGCGACCACCTGCCCATGTAGTCGCACTCGCTTTTCGGAACCCCCATCGCCGCCATGGCCAAAGGGATCGACGTCCGCTCTGAGTGCTGCGCTCTGTCCATGAGCTCACGACCTCCTCGGAGATGAGACGCTCGACCTCCTCGCCCGCGCGCGCCGCTGGCATCGGCGCCCGCTGGAGCACCCCCTGTCCCGCAGCTGCTGTCTCCGCGTGCCTGGCGGGCTTGCGGGCGCCCTCCAGCCCCGCGTTGTCGCGCCGCGGCAAGGGGGAGCCCCTGTCGAAATCCACAATTTCCTGCCGCAGGTCGAAGCCCGTGCCCAGCATGTAGCACTCGCGGCATCCCAAGCTGCAGCCCTTGAATATTGCGCCCTGTTCCGCTAGTTCTCGTGCGCCCCAGCGTGGCCTGTCAGCCGCCCGCCCGCGAAGGCGAGGCGCTGCGGCGGGAACCAGCTGCGGTCGTCGCGGCGCAGCACCGCCCACACCTTGACGAGGCGAAGCCGTGTCACCCCGGCAGGTGCCGCGCGAGGTCCTCGCCCGCGCGACCATCCGCCCCAGGGCCGCGATCAACGCATTGGGAAACGGTGCCCCCCTCGTCGTCGCGCCCACCCCACACCGAAAAACATCTCAATGTTTGCGGCCACCTGCTGGGCCTCAGGTCGAGTGGACAGCTTGACGGCTCACCTCAGCCGCGACGCGACACTTTCGAGCGAACCGGGTCCCCGCCATCGAACGGGCCTCAGGCGGCGGTGGGGCTTCGGCCGCTCTTCGGCTGGCAACCATCCTGACGAACGCCGCGGCATCCTCCAGCAAGGCTTGGCCAAAACGGCCGTGGAAACCCCTTAGCCATGTCTGAACTGGCCTTTCGGCCACCGCCTGATCCACGCATTTCTTCAGTGGCCGCCGCGCCCCATCCAAAATGCAATGGCATTCTCCCGAATTCGGCCTCCCCCGTTTGCAGCGCCACGCGCGGGCCGAGGAGGTCGCACTCATGACGCACCTTGCTGACCCGCCAATGCGCGGCGTCGAGGGCGCACGGCCAAAGGGCCGCGTGCCTGAGCCCAGGGAACGGGCAGTGCGAAGGGATGCGCAGTCGGCACACGGGGGCGAGTCCTCCGATGGGGCCAAACTCAGTCAACGCCACTACTTGCGGGTCTTGTCTGTTCACATGGAGTTGCTTTCTCGCGAGTTCGATTCCGATGGGCTCCAACATGGCCCCAAAAGGAGCCGATTAGACGGCCCCGAGAGCGCCCAATAGCACCCCAAGAGAGCCCCCAAAGGGCCCCAAGACCCCAAGTGTCGGGCCGATCTGAGGGGGCCTTACTTGAGAACTCTGCTTTCTTTGACCAGTGCCCTCCAAGATTGCCTCAAGAGCGCCCTCGTGGCTCGAGAAAGGGCCCGATGACCCCTCCCTCCACACTGACTCAATATGAATACTACTCCCCCTCTTCCCCTGATGGCGTGCTGGGAATATTCGACCCCCCCGCGCACTGTTTTTTACACAAAGGATTCCCGGGAATTGGGTTTTCGCCTGCGTGTTTTTCCAAATGCTGCTCTCGCTGAAGCGCCGACCTCATTTCTGCTCCCGAATCGTTCCGAATCGTGCTCCCGCTGCAGCGTGGGCCTCATTTTCGGATCGGAGTTTTGCCCCCGTCGTTCAGGATGGCGTTCTCGCCCCAGCGCGGGCCTCTTTCTCGCGCGCCCATCCGCCCGCCACCACCGCGCCGCACCACGCCCCGCCCCGCCGCACGCACACCCACCGCCACTTCCACCCACCAACGCACGCACGCACACACGCGCACCACCACCGCGCACCGCCACCACCACCGCACTACCCCACCCACCACCACCACGCTACACCGCGTCACACCACATCACACGCGCGCACACAGACACACACGCACGCACGCACATACACACACACACGCACACGCACACGCACACACACAGACACACACGCACGCACACACACACACACACACACACACACACACACACACACACCACCACCACCACCACCGCCACCACACCCACCGCCATCACATCACACGCGCACACACGCACACACACACATACACACCACCACCACAACAACCACAACCACGCACACACGCACTCACGCGCACCACCACCCACTACGCACACGCGCGCGGAGCCACAGGTCCGCTACGACACGCGTCCGCGGATAGAGAAAATCAGCGCCATGGTAAGGGATGGGAGGGAGGGGTAGGATGTCAGATGTTGACGCGAGCGCACCTAACTTGCCTTCCCCCTCTCCCTCCCTCCCCATCCACCCCCTCCACCCGCCCACCACACTCCCAGCCCAATCCTTTGCCCCCCCGCTCCCACCCCACCCACACCCACACCCCACACACCCACACACCCACACACCCACACACCCACACACCCACACAGACACACAGACACACAGACACACAGACACACAGACACACAGACACACAGACACACAGACACACAGACACACGGACACACGGACACGGACACAGACACAGACACAGACACACACACACACCACACACACACACACACTCCATTCGCCCTTTCCAGCTTCCTCCTCTCCCTCATCCGACCTAACTCCGTACATATTCTCGTACCTTCTGCCTCCTCCTGCCTGCCCCTGCCTCCTGCTAGTTCCCGCTACCTCCCTCTACTCCTCATACCTCCTGCTACGTCCTCCCAGTTATTCCTGCATCCAAGCTTGCCAGGGCACGCGGCGCACTGGTGACCTCCACCTGGTTCCCTGAAACTCCTCGTGCCTCCCTCACGCTCCTCATGCTCCAGCGCGCTTCCTCTTCCTCCTGCCCACGTTCATCCTTCTCGTCCTCCTTCTCCGCAAGCTCCCCGTCATCCTCCCCACCCGTCTCTCCTACGCCGCTTCCTCCTTCTCCTTCGAGGAGTCCGCGAAGCTGGATGCGATTCCCTGATCAGGGCAGCTCGCCTGGTAACTGCTTTGAGGGATGGGCTGGAGTCAAGAATCCAGCCGTGGCGACGAGGACCTCCCTCCCAAGCGGCCCCAGAAAAGGCAACCACGATGCAAGGCCAACGGGTATGGGGTATCGGTAATTGGCCTCTTCCTCGCTCGGGCCGGGCGAAAAGGGGGGAATACCAAAAGGGAGGTTTGAGAATCAGCTCGCGTAGCTGGTCTCCCTGGCGCCTCCCCGCGCCAGAGGCGGCCAGGAGTCGAGGCATGGGCCCCTCGGTGCAGGGCCGAAACCAGCTCTGCACGCCGCAGATCTCGTAGCCCGCCCCCTCTCTCTGCCCCTCCCCCCTCGTCTGGCCCGACTCCCCCTCGGAAGGCTCGGAGGTCTCCTCCTCCTCCTCCTCCTCTTCCTCCTCCTCCTCCTCCCGCCCGCCCGCCCGCCCGCCCGCCCGCCCGCCCTCCCCCAGCGTCCTGCACCACCTGGCTGCGGGTGGCCGCCTCGCCAGGCAGCTCCGTGGGCAGAGCCGTGGTCGACGGCCCCGCCCCGGCCTGGCTGCCGCCGACGGCCACGGAGACCGCCGGCAGGGCCCCCGACGCGCTCCGCGCCGCGACCCCGGCGGTGCCCACGGCCCTGGCGGCGTCCACGCCCGCGAGCGCCTGGCCAGCGCCCCCGACCAGCCGCTGGGGGTTCTCCGCCGCGTGCTGGATCCTCTCGAGGGCGGGACGCACATGCTCACAGCCACAGCCTCGCGGCCCGGACCCCTCGGCGGCGGTCCCGCGGATGCCGGGCGGCGCCGCGCGGAGGCCCCTGCGCGGAGCGCATCCATGGGATGCCGTATCCACGTGATCGCGCCACGGTGAGCAGGCCGCGAGGGCAACGATATGAGCATACTCGCCGCTCGATCCTCTGCTGGACGGCGTTCGGCATCTTGGGAGCATCCTGGCTCACAGACCTGATGGCCCTCCCGATGTCCCCCACGCCGAAGTCGCCTCCGAAGGCTCCTCTGACAGTGAGCAGCAAGACAGTGCAGTGGGCGAGCGCTTTCAGGCTGCAAGGAGCTGCCATTTGCGGTGAATATGCCGCTGTCAACGCGCAGCGCCGCCGACTGAGCTTTTGTCACAGCGGTCGCTCGAGCCAAAGCATGGTCACAGAGGAGCAGGAGGGAAATCAGGATGGCAAGAGGGCGGTGGACGTTCGACCTTGCTCCTGCGGGCGCGCTCTCTGACCAGCAAGGGCCCACTCTCCAACCATCAGGCCCGAAATATCATTCCGCTGCGCAGGGGCAAGGATAAGCGAGGAGGGAGGGAGGAACGATGAGAACTCAGGGAGAGAGAGAGAGAGAGAGAACGGGTGGAAGGGCTGGACGAGGAAGGGGGTGAAACGTCAGATCGTTCAGCATCGACCGACTCTGGGTCGCCAGCTGGCGTTCAACGCTGAGCGCTGGCGGCGAGGTCGCCGCCGGTCGACACGACGCGAACCCACCGTAGAAGCACACTCTCACGGCTGGATTCACATGCGGAGCACGCCGAGGCCGTACGATGGATGCACTCCTGTACGTCGCCGCGCGGCAGGAGGCAATCCGCTAGCGCGCTGAAGTTGCCGCAATCGCGCTGGATGCACATGCGGAGCGCCAGCGCACGCACCACGCTACACGGGGGGCCGAGTGCTGGCCGCTGGTCGCCGTGTGTTCCATTGCACGTGTGGTGCAGGCCCAACCCTGAAACCTGACATAAAGCTAGGGCTGACCACAATCGATTCTTTTATGCAGCGGCGGGTATGGTCACTAACCACGGAGCACGCCCAGGTCTGATCAGAGGAACGGCAAGCCGCCAAGGAGGGGTCCCAGCGCCGATCCGAGACATCCGCGCGGATCTGAAAGAAATTATGCTTATGCAGCTTGTTGCTAATTTCGGCCGGGACGGCCGCCGAAGGACAAACCCAACAGACACCGCTCGCAGAGCATGGAGGAGAGCAAGCAAGACGGGAAACGGGAACCATGACCAGAACTGAGCGCGGAAACGCCGTGCCGATATCGGTCAGACTCGATCTGCGTCAGCGCCAATTCTGAAGGGGCCCCAGGACACACAAATAAATACACACAAATAAAAATATCTCCTATATTTTCCCATATCTTCTGGGTTTTTGTCTTCCCCCCCACTTCCCATATTTCCCCATATTTTCTGGGGAATCGACGATTAATTGTGTCTGTGTGTTTTTTCCCCTCCTGAAATTCGTTCATCGGGGGCGCGGGCGGACCCAGCGCGCAGTGCCGGCGGGAGAGTGAGCCGCGGGGGCGCCCAGGGGGTCGGAGGAGCAGCGGCTCGGACCAGGGGTGCCAAGGCTGATGCTGCAGCGGAGGTTGGGACGAGTCCCGAAGTCGTTGGGCGTGGCTTCATGGGGGGGTCACAAATAGGGGGGTCAGAAACGGTCCCCTTTCGTGCCCCTTTCGGGCCCCTCCGGAGCCCCAGGGGGCTCGTTAAGGCACCGTTTGGGTACCTTTTCGGACCACCCTCGCCAACCCCCCATTTATGACCCCCCTATTACGCAACGCCCCAAGTCGCGGAGCTTGACTGGGGTCGGTTCGGATCCTCGGGGTAGTACCTGGTGGAGCTCCCTGGGCGCCGCTGGGCCACGTTGCTGGGCCACGTCGGGTCAGCGCGACGCTTGCCTCTCCCGGGGAGGCGCCCCCTCTTCTGGATCTGCTCATCCCAAACTTGGTGCCATTCGATCTGAAGGCCGTGTCTCCAGCACAGGTTGCGAATGTCGAAGTGCTCGGCGATGAGCTGGGTCACGAAGTCTTCGCTGATCTAGTATTTCCCTTTGGGGTTGTACGTGGCCCCTTGGCGCCCTTCTCTGTGATCACAGAGAGCACTCCAGCCGATGACCAGCATGGGGCCACACTCCCGCTCGAGGCGGTTGACGACTTCGGGCCAGTTCTCCTCCCTTCTGGCAGCGTAGTTCCACGCGCGGTGCCATTGAAAAACCTGGTGGGGTCTGTACTAGAGTGAGTCGTGGGGGCTGGGGTGAGGAGTGCAGCGGGCTGGTACGTGCGCCGTGCGGTGGGCGCGGTTGGGCGGGTAGGCCTGCTTCTCGCGCTCGTCGGAGGCGCTGGCTTCCCCCTGCCAGCGTTGCGGGGGGGTGCGCGGGGGGCGGGAGTGCTCCACGGTCTCGGGGGGGGTCTGGCACGCCGCCTCGTCGGGGGTCTCGGCGGCCGTGGGCCCTCCGTCTGACTGCTCCGCCCGCCAGGCCCGCCCCCCGTCCGTGCTGCTGTCCCGCCGCTCCGCCTCCGCGTGCAGCGTGCCGCGGGGGCTGGGCAGCGCGGGCCCCCCGCCCGGGGGCGCGGGGCTGGCTGGCGGCGGCGACTCTGCGGAGAGGGCCCCAGGCTGGGGCCTCGCTGCATGGTGGGGTCGGGGAGGCCGGGGATGTATCGGAGGAGGAGTCCGCAGGCGAGTGGTCGACGGTGCGATTGCTGGCAGCTGCGCCCTGTCGGGCGGCGCGCGGGGGGGCCGGGAAGGCTGCGTCTGGGGCTGGGGCGGCGGGACTGCGCCTGGTCTGCGCTCTGGCGTACCCGTGGTCGGCTGAGTGGTTCCAGTGGCTGCCTGTGGTCATCGTGCGGCGGGTGTGCGTGGCTGGAGAAGCTGCTGTGGGAGCTCTCGCGGCTACCAGAGCTGCGGCCCCGCGGCTGGCTGGTGCGACTCCTGGACGTGCAGCTGCTCGCTGTGTTGCCGGGCGACCTGCGGTAGGGGTTCCGACCGCTTCGGTGCCGACCCCCGTTTTGGGAGAGCGCTGCCGGCGAGGCCACCCGCCTCGAGGTCCTGGCGCGCCGGCGGCGCACAGGGCTGACGGTCTGTGGGCGCCTGCCCCTGGTCCCAGGGAGGTCCGGGCCCCGGAGGGTGCCGGGCGGCCGCGCTGCCCGACGCTGCGTGTCTGGAGTGCTGCGGGGCGCGGGCCTCCTGGGTGCCTTGGCAGGCCGAGAAGAGGCGGAGGGGGGTCGTCGGGCGGGGGGGGGCCTGCTCCTGGGACCCTGCGCGGCTCGCGGCGCGCTGCGGCCGCCGAAGGGCGCCAGGAGGGGCCGCCGCGGGGGGGGCCGGGGGAGAGTCGGGCGCTTCCGCCTGGGCGGGTTGGTATGGGGTAGGCCTGGGACACGTCCCAGGCGAGGATCGCCTGGACGTCGAGGGGCGGGGCGCTCCGGAGGTCCACCAGGCATCGCGCGCAGCACCACGTGGAGTTCCGTTCGTTGTTGGCGAACAGGTGTCTGCGGTCTGCGAAGAGCGGACGGCCTTGGGCGCCAGAGCCTGCGGCCTGCTCTCCAGGGCGGAAGATAAAGATGCCCAGGGAAGCGTTTCCGCATTGCCACTCGTGCAAGGGGTCGCTTTCAGGGCAGCGGTCGCATCTGCAGCGCCATTTCCCGCTGTCGATATCCCCTCCGAGCCTGTCGTCCTCAGTGCGCTGGATGGGATTGTGGTGTTTGTGAAAATGGTGTCTCGTGTGCAGCGCCACGGGAGGAGGAGCCTCCATAGTGGTGTGCCCGCCTCGACTAGGTGCGCAGGAGGCGAGGCCGGCACAAAGCGACGGGGGCGACTGCTCCAGGCTGGGGGCGCGCCTGTCGCGCCGGCCAGAAAGGTCGCGAGTCTGACGCCTTCGGGTATGGGCAGGCCTAGGGCGTCCTGGCTTGTTTGGGCGCCCGAATTATCCGGGGTAAGTCGGGTCCGGGGTAAGTCGGGTTCGGAATCCCGAAAAACCAACCCGAGTTAGCCCTGACCCGAGTTACCCCTGATGATTCGGGGCTCTGGACTGACTACCTACCAGACCACCCCAACCCAACCCGAAGACCCCGATTTCGGGTTGGGGGGGGTAAGGGTTCCACATGTGTTTTTTCGATGTTTCCCGAACCCCCCCCCACTGGAAATCGAGGGTAAATCTGAGCCTTCGGGTTGGGTTGGGGTGATTTGGTGGGTGGTGATGGACGCCCGAATTATCCGGGGTAAGTCGGGTCCGGGGTAAGTCGGGTTCGGAACCTCGAAAAACCAACCCGAGTAAGCCCTGACCCGAGTTACCCCTGATGATTCGGGGCTCTGGACGCCCGAATTATCCGGGGTAAGTCGGGTCCGGGGTAAGTCGGGTTCGGAACCTCGAAAAACGAACCCGAGTAAGCCCTGACCCGAGTTACCCCTGATGATTCGGGGCTCTGGACGCCCGAATTATCCGGGGTAAGTCGGGTTCCGGGGTAAGTCGGGTCCGGAACCTCGAAAAACGAACCCGAGTAAGCCCTGACCCGAGTTACCCCTGATGATTCGGGGCTCTGGACGCCCGAATTATCCGGGGTAAGTCGGGTTCCGGGGTAAGTCGGGCTCGGAACCTCGAAAAACGAACCCGAGTTGGCCCTGACCCGAGTTACCCCTGATGATTCGGGGCTCTTAGGGAGCCCACAAAGGACGTACGCGCCCAGCTATGTACATGAACACGGGCCCTCCATCCGCGAGACTGGCCGCGTGATACGAACATTCGGGCAATGCGTACTTTCCAAACCAGCCTGGATTCATGTACGTGTACGTCCTTCTTTCGCTCCTGATGACTTGTAGTCTCCAGCAGGTGATGCAGTGCCATCGGCAGTCTTGCCCCCTCCTGCAGCACGCGCGCCGGCCTGCGGCGGCTGGCCGGCGCGCCTCCGGGTCGACCCATGGCGCCTGCGTGGTCCTTCCGAGGGGTCGAGGGGGCCACGCCCGCAGGAGCCACAGAAGACGTTGGAGGCTTCATCCGTCGGAGGTGGACAAACCTCCCTTTCATAAACCTCCCCTTATCAGGGTCGACCCAGGCGCCTGCGTGGTCCTTCCGAGGGGTCGGGGGGGCCACGCCCGCAGGGGCCACAGGAGACGTCGGGGGCTCCATCCGTCGTCTGAGAGCGCTTGCCTCCGGTCTGCAGCGTGGGCGGCAGCAGGGTGGCGCCCGGGAGCGCGCCCGTCGGGGGGGGGAGGTACAGGCCTCTCCCGGTGCCGGAGGAGTCCTCCCCCTAGAGGCCGTTTTTTATCATTTGGGGTAACGGCTGTTACCTGGGGGGGGGGGGGGGGGGGGGGCGGCGGGTAACGGTAACGGCGGCAGCGGCGTACGCCCGCCAGGGTGCGTCCGCGCCATCGGCACATGAATCGCCACACCTGCTGAGAGGAGGGGGGGCCGCCCTCCCCCCCCCCAAAAAACGTACGATCGTTGGCGCTACCCGGGGGGGGGGGGTTGGGCCCGGGCAGCAAAGCGTCACCCGCCAGAGGAAACAAAACAGAAGCCGTACGATCGTTAGCGTACGATCGTTAGGGTACGATCGTTAGCGTACCAGCGCTACCCGCCAGAGGGACACAAAACAAAAAACGCTCCTATATTTGGTGTCCGTTCCATGGGAGCCTGCGTGGCCCCTGGCACTGTCCAATTGGGGATGATTTGGACCGGATCTGGAACAAATTTGGACCGGATTTGGACCAGACTTGGACTGGATTCGTGGGGGCTGCGTAGGAGAACGAGGAGGGGGAGGGGGAACAGGAGGAGAGAGGAGGAGCAGGAGGATGGGCCAAATGCGGTCCCCACGCTGTCCACATGCAGGAAAAGCTGATTTCAATGTCGCCGCCCAAGGCTCCCATGAACAGACATCGAACCTATAGCAGACATCACACGCAGCGCAGCACGCAGGCCGCACCCGCGGAGAGCAGCCGCGGCGGGGCAGGGATTGCGGCGGGCAGGGAGAGCCGCGGCGCCGCACGCCGTCTGAGGACGGCGGGCGGCGGCGGGCCACGTTGGGGGAAGGAGCGGCAGCGGGAGGGCGCCTCAGAGCCTCAACCCTCGATCCTCGACTCTACTCGGCCTTCGATCCTCGACTCTCCTCGATCCTCGACTCTCCCCGATCCTCGATCCTCGACTCTCGATCCTCCTCGATCCTCGACCCTCGACCCTGGAATCTCGAATCTCCTCGAGGTACAGACAAGGGCATGAACATGAGCCTTCGGAGCTCGGCGCTGGAGCCCCCTGGCGCGCTCTGCGCGCCAGTCAGTCGGCGGCGCGCCTTGGCGGAAGTGAGAAGGGGCGGGCCTTCTCAGAAGGCTCGGGAGTCCCCCAGCATTCTGAGAAGTTCTCGCTGCCCTTCCCGAAGACACAGAAAACTTCTCAGAAGGCGCGAGGGCTTCAGAGAAGTCCCGCCGCCTTCTGAGCAGGCCTTCTCCTTCTCACTTCCCCCCCATCGCTCGCCGCCGAACGAGGGGGGTGGCACAGATCCAGGGAATCCACGCGGAGCTCCCAAACAGAATGTTTATTCCCAACCATCCTATGATTGTGGGTCCTCTTGTTGAAGAGACAGCGCCCCGCGTCGCCTCCTCGCCTCCTCCCATCCCTGCCTCTGCTCTCCGCGCGCACACTTCGGCACGCCCCTCACACGCTTCGTGGCTACAAGGGGAAATCCACCAAAGCCCTCACGCACACCCCTCACACGTTTCGTGAACCCACACCCCCAGAGGTGGGGGTCGCATGCGGTTCCCCACCCATTTCGGCACACACACACACTCAGACGTGTCGTATCCCCAAAGGGCGTTTCATTCAGGCACACCCCTCGCACGTTTCGCGGCCACACAGGGAACTCCACCGAAGCTCTAGGAGGGAGGGGGGGGCATGCGATTCTTATGTATTACGGTGGCACACCCCTCGCACGTTTCGTGGCCCCGTAGGGAGCTCCATCGAAGCTCCCAGGAGGTAGGTTTCGCATGCTTCTCTTATCATTCTGGCACACCCCTCACACGTTTCGTGGTCCCGCAGGGAGTTTCACCGAAGCCCCCAGGAGGGGGGGGTCGCATGTGGTTCTTATGGATGTTGGACACCCTCGCACGTTTCGCGTTCGCGTTCCCACAAGGAGCTCCACCGAAGCCCCAAGAAGCCCCAAAGAGGCGGGTTTCACACGCGGTTCTTTGCCACTATGGTACGCCCCTTGCACGTTTCGCGGCCCCACAGGGAACTCCACCGAAGCCGCAGAAGGGAGGGGGGGTGCATGCGGTTCTTATGTATGTTGGCACGCCCCTCGCACGTTTCGTAGCCCCATGGGGAGCTCCACCGAAGCCCCCAGGAGGGAGGTTGCGCATGCTTCTCTTATCATTCCGGCACAACCCTCACAAGTTTCGTGGTCCCTCAGGGAGCTCCACCGAAGCCCCCAGGAGAGGGGTCACATGTGGTTTTCATGGATTTCGGAACACCCCTCACACGTTTCGCGGTCCCACAGGGAGCTCCACCGAAGCTCCCAGGAGGCGGGTTTCGCATGCGGCTCTTTGCCATGTTGGCACACCACTCACACGTTTTTGTGATCCCACAAGGAGCTCCACCGAAGCCCCCAGAAGGCGGGTTTCGCATGCAGTTCCTTGCCATTTTGGCACACACACACACACACCACACGTTACGTGGCCCCACAGGGAGCTCCACCGAGGCCCTGAGGGATGGTGTCGTATGCGATTCTTCTCCATTTCGGCACGCAACGCTTCGTGGCCCCATACGGAGGTCCGCCGAAGGCCCCAATGGCACAGCTCACATGCGTCCCTAGCCACACTTCGGCACACCCGTCAAACGTTTCGTGGCTCCAAGGCAAACTTCGGCACACGTTTGGTCACACGTTTCGTGGCCCCAAAGTGAGCTCTACAACTGAATATGGTTGGGTCCTTTGCCAGCATATGCTCCTCGACCTGAAGCCCCGTGCTCCCGAAGGAACGTCGAGGCAAGCCGCGCCTGGGAAGGGCTGAGCCAGTTCAGGTCCGCGAGGGACTGCCCTGCGTGGTGCTTGCAGAGCTGATCCAGCGCGTTCAGGAAATGCTCCGGCGATGCCTGCACGTGCATCGGGAAACGCACCTCTTCCTTCGGGGCGCATACTGGGACGCCCGAAACGGGTACTGAGAAAATGGGTACGATGCCCGACAACACATATGGTCCCAAACCGACAGCAGCCGCTACAGGGCAGGCAGCCTTCTGTCTCAAATGGGCAACGACCGCAGCAACGCCAACAACAAAACCTGCTCAGGATGAACAAGATCAGCTGGACTTTGTACCCACTGCTTCCGTACCCGCTTCGATCGTCCCGAGCGGAAGGACATCCTAAGACCACTTGCCTCTGTTGGGGACGCATGTCCGGCCCTGAGACACAAGACACAATCTCGCAGTATATCGTTCGCCGGTATGCCCAGAAGTACGTACCCCGCCCAGGAGCCGATACACCCTGCGAAATGCTTAAGAAATCATGGGTTAAGAAATTCATAGTCTCAGAACTTGAATGAAAACCCAACATTTCCATTAAAAACTTAGGATTTACATTGAAACGTCAAGAATAATCGAGACTCTGGCCGAAAACTTAGGTTTTCTTGAGCATCGCCTAAGGTGTACTAGAAGATTCCCGAGCGTGCGCGCCGCCCTTGCGCGGCCGACGCACGCATCGTATCAGTACGTTTGGGCGGCACCGGTCCGCGCCCGACACGCCGTTCAGGATCTTCACCAGCAGCGCGTCGGGGCCCAGATCCTAGAGGCCTCCTAGATGGGGTCGGAGTAGATGGGGTCGGAGGACCGCGCCGCATCGCCAATACATCGACGATACATCGGCGATGCATCGGCGATGCATCAGCGATGCACCGGTGATGAGGCGTCGACGTCGGCGATGTATCGGCGACGTCGGCGTGGGGAACATCGGGCTCCGCATCGAGCCGCATCGTCGATGCATCGGCGATGCGGCGCGACCCTCCGACCCCATCTACTCCGACCCCATCTGGGAGGTCTAGAGATCCGCCGTCGGCATCCCGGGCGCCAGCATGTCGTGCCGCGGGGCCAGCGCCGCCTCGAAGGGCGACGGCGCGACCGAGGGGGCCGCCGAGGCCAGCACCGAGGCCACGTTGCTGTTGCAGACGGACAGCGTGTCGAGGTCCTGGAACTCGCTGCCGACCTCTCTCGACGCCCGAAACGGCTGCGGACCAAACGTGTACGATACCGAGCGACAGCTCTTGTCCCAAGGCCGACAGCGGCCGCCGTGGAGCAGGCGGCCTGCCGTCTCTAAACTGGACACCCTCCGCGGCGACGCCGACGGCGAGCCTGGCCCAAACTGCACGAGAGCTGCTGCCGGTCGTTGCACCCACTGCTTCCGAACCCGTTCCGATCGTCTCAAACAGGGCCAGGATCGGGATGAATCGCTCCAGAGCGTTCCAGAGCGCTCTCAGAGCTTCCCGGAACGCTCTGGAGCGGCCGCGGCGCCCAATACATCCTCCAAACCCGCCGATTCTCAGAGATTTCGAACTATCCCGATCCGATTTTGCCCCGATCTTCGCGTCGTTCTATCCCGAGACCTCGCTCGGGGCGCGGTGCTGCCGCTCGGGGGGCCCCGACAGCATGCACAGCAGCCCGGGCTCCTCCAGCGGGTTCCGCACGGAGGCCTTCTGCGAGGGGCACGCAAGCTCCAGCCCCGGCCTCTGCGGCCCGAGGCCCCGCGGCGTGCGGGCCCGGCTCTCGCCGGAGCGGAGCGAGTCCGTGTCGCTGCCCGGGGCGTCCACGAGGGTCCAGTTCCTGGACCTCCTCGTGAGGGCAGAGCAGAGGGTTGGCCAGATGGGGTCTGGCGGCGGTTGGTCATGGTTGTGCAGCCATGCTTCAGACAGGTGAGGGCGCAATCCGACTTTGGACAGAAAGGGTGACGTCAGGGGGGGGGAGGACCCAGCTGGAATTGGCGATGCACCGCCCATAGCTCGGCGATAGGGGGTCCTCGAGAGCCAAGTCGAACGCTCCTGGGCGGTGGGGGGCTGCCAGGCCTTTATCGGCGATCAGTAGGCGACTGGAGGTCGGTGCGCTCCCTCCTGAGACTTTCCCCCGATAGCGTTGTGCCCGATCCTCTTGGGAGGGCACGTGCGCCCCACCCCAGGGCGACGTTATGAGGGCCGGAGCATGGCCATATGAGCGCGAGCCAAGAACATGAGCCCCCTCGCCGACGGCCCACGCCCCGAGGATCCCCCTTCAGGGCCCGCCCGCTCTGGGCCACCGTTCATCCAGGAAGAAGAAGAAGAAGCTGGATAGATAACCGCACTTTCGGAACACGGCGCGGACTTCTTGGATCAGCGCTGGAACCCCCTGGCGGCGCCTCTGGCGCCGCCCCTGACGCACTCCGTGCGCCTTGGAGGAGGGTCCAGCGCCGACCCAAAAAATCCGCGCGGACCTCCGAACGTTTATTCCCCAATCAGAGCTTGCCTCTGTAGGGGTCCTAGCGGATTCATAGGGCTAGGTGAGGTTTGCCACCGATTTCATCGGCCCGCCTTGGTGCCCGGGTGCCTTATAGCCCCGTAGCCCTATGGCCCTGTAGCCCTATAGCCCTATGGCCCTGTAGCCTTAAGACCTTATAGCCCTACCGCCCCATTGCCCCATTGCCCAATAGCCCTGTAGCCCAATGGCCCTATAGCCTAATAGCCTTATAGTCCTATAGCCCTATGGTCCTAGAGCCCTATAGCTCCCTAGCCCTACAGCCCTATAGTCCTATAGCTCTATATGCCTATAGCCCTATAGCCCTATAGTCTGATAGCCCTATATCCCTATAGCCCTGTAGCACTATAGACATATAGCCCAAACGCCCCATAGCCCTGTAGACTCATAGCCCTATGGCCCTATAGGCCTGTGGCCCTATGGCCCTATAGCCCCAAAGCCCTAAAACCCTACAGCCCTATGGCCCTATATCCCTCTTGCACTATGGCCCTATAGCCCTATGGTCCTATAGCCCAATAGCTCTATAGACTAACTAAAAGCCCTATGACCCTACAGCCCTATAGCCCCATAGCACTGTAGCTCTATAGCCCCATGCCCTAGAGCCGTATGGTCATATAGCCCTTTCAGCCCCATAGCCCCATAGACTAATAGCCCTATGGCCCCATAGCTCTCTGGCCCTATAGCCCGATAACCCAATAGCCCTAAAAGACTTTGATTTGGGCTTTTCTCCGTCATCATGTGATTATGCACATGCTCGCCCCTCGAACTGGGACCTCCCCCCTGTCCTCTTGGACACGCTCCAGTCGCGCAGTACGCTGAAATCAACGTCCTTGGACAGGCTCTCCAGCTTCTCGCGCGTGTCGAGGCTCACGTAGTCGTCGGCGGCACTCCGCGTGGGGTCGTCCTGCGAGGACGAGGACGCCAACGCGGGCGACTGCAGCGGCGCGTGCGAGGCGGAGGCAGGCGTCAACATCCCGCTGGAGCCTCTCGCCATCGCTCGGACGTGCATTCCCTGTGTTTTCGTCGGTTTCGTGCGTGGCTTTCTCGCCAAATGATCAAGGATGCTCCTCGATGGCCCTCGCCGAAGGCAAAATGCACACGTCCGAGCGATGCCAAGGCCTAGGACGCCCCAAGTGTCCAGGGTAGCTCCAGTCTGGGGCAACTCCGGCTTGGGCCCCCGACCCGCGAAGCGGTAGTGAACTGCCTATACGGCCACCCCGGGCCCCGTGGCTCTGGGAGGGGCTGGTCGCCAGAGCTATCCGGGGCAAGTCTGGTCCAGGGCAGCTCGCAAGAGTCGGGGAGACGTAAGACCCGGGTACGGGGGACTCGAAAATCCCCGACGAGGTCGTCAAAAAAATGACGAGCCCGAGCCTGCATTTTGACGAGGCCTCCCGCTGCAGACATCCCACGAAACTCCTCCTCGTCAAAATCCGAGTCGCGGTCGTCAAAAAACGATGGCGAACCCGAGTCCCGGCAAACCCGGGTCTTACGCTCCCCCGAAAGAGTGACCCTGGGTGAGAGTGACCCTTGGTGCGCGGCTTCTGGGGGCCGCGGGGGGACCAAACCTGGGCGCGCAAGCCGCTGCTCCTGCTTCGTTTTCAGCCATCTGGGGGCCCATCTGTGCCCGGTCACTCCGGCGAAAGGTCACTCTTACGTCTAGTCGAGCAGCTCTGCCTTGGGGCCCCAGAGGCACGAGTCGGGAGCTACATCCTCGACCACCCCCAGCCCCTGGGGCTATTCTGGGCTCTGGGAGCCGCTGCTGAGAAGCGTCGCCCCGGCCAGCGCGCCGACGGCCGCAGGGACCTAGGAGCAGGGAAACGCGGCACCACTACCCGGGGCCACCAGGGACCACCACCAGGTCCCCCTGGTGGTGTGCTCCCCGCCTCGCGCTCGAGACGTCCCGATCCCCAGCTCGGGGGGGCATCGTGGACCTCCTCGTTGCAGGTGGCCCCCCTGGTGGTGGTGCTGTTGCCTCTCCCTCCGGGGACCGCGCACGTCTCCGAGGCGCCCCGCAGCGCGGGGGAGGCGAAGGCCCGCGCGAAGACGGAGGCCGGCTGCGGCGGCGCACCGCTGGTGGCTGCGTCGCCGTGTGCGCCCGGCTCCTCCGGCGGATCCGACGCCGCCTCGCCTCCAGCCTCCGCCTCCGTAGGGGGACAGCCAGAGGTGCCAGTCTATCCCTCCTCCTTTCCCCCTTGGCTCGGTTTTCGCACTCGGGGAGCATGCCAACCCAGTCCAAGTATCAACCTCATGAAGCGAGTAAGACCCCCCCCTCTGGGGCATCGTTAGCACCGAAAGAACATAAATGATTATCCGAGCTGGAGTCAGCGGAGCGATATCTTCAGCACGGAAGAAAATAATTCAATATCCCCCCCGTGCAGAGATGGAAACCTTGGCGTGCCAATATTCCTGAGTCGCACGAGGGTATACGATGACAATGATGTCCTTTTCCTGTGGCGCTCCTCCTCCTCCTCCTCTTCCTGCTCCTCCTCCTCGTCCAGGTGCCAAAATAACGCTTCCGGGTGCTGGATGCGTTATAGTGCCACCGGAAGGGGGGGGTCTCAGTCGCGTCATGAAGCTAGCCCCAGGCGAAGCTGCCCTTCCAGTTCCCCCGGGCACACATCTTTTCAACGCATGGGCCACGGGGTTCATGACGGAGGAATAGGTCAGGCTGCAAGAGATCCCCTTGGGACTGCGTCCCACTGGGCACCGCTGTACTACTAGGAGCCGCGCGTACATACACCAAGGTATCTGGGCCCTGTTCTATCGGGCCTCGCGGAGACGCCATTCGACAACATGTAACGTATATAGTTTCTGGCAAATTGTCCAGGCGACGGGTGCAGAGCAAATTATGCTATCGGAGTTTCCCACATGTGGATGAGAAGGGCATCGCGGGATCAATGGTGCAGATGAGTAGCATTATAAATGGACGTACGTACGCATGGAAGGGCAGACGAACGCAAGGAGGGGAAACAACGAGAAAGATGAGGACGGCTGTTCAGGTAACACTTCCGTCCCTCTGCGAATCCCACCATTCTTCGGTACGATCGGTTGAAGCGTAATTGCTCGTTTAAGCTATTTCCTTTGGGAGGCTTGTCCCACCCCCTCCCCCTACGTCATTCCTGAGCTCTTCCCTGCGTTTGGAATGGGCCCCTGTGAACGATCCATAGAGTGACTGTAGCCCTAGATAAGGATTCAATATTTTTCTGGATGGCCTCCACGCGCTTCCAACAGTTCTCAACCGTCGCCTAAAGATGTCTCCCATTTCTTTTGCATTGTCCACAGGGCCCTCAGACAAAACAAATCTCTTTGAATGACTTTTGCGTTCACGCACATTTCGCTCGGGGCCTCTGTGGTCAGTGTGCGGGGCCTCAGAGGGCAGCGTGCTGGGGCCCCGGCTAGCGCGATGGAGGCCTCTGCGGGCTGTTTGGGGCCTTCAACTTAGAGGGCAGCGCTGAGGCGCCTCAGTGGGCGCGCTTGGGGCCTCTGCGGGCTGTGCCAGGGGCCGCATGGGGCAGCGTGGTGGGTTTTTGTGGGCGCGCACGGGGCCCCTGTGGGCTGCGTTCGGTGCCTCGGTGGACTGCGTGCTGGGGTCTCTGTGGGCTCCTTCGGGGCCTCCCTGGACAGTGTGTACGGCCTCGGAAGGCAACATGCTAGGACCTTGGTGGGCGCGCTGGGGACCACTGTGGGCTGTGTCCGTGGCTTCAGTGGACAGCGTGGTGGGGCATCCGTGGGCGCGCTGGGGACCTCTGTGGGCTGCGTCCGATGCCTGAGTGGGTCGCGCGACGGGGGCTCTGCGGGAACGCTGGGGGCCTCTGTGTGCTGTCAGGGCATGTTGGGGGCCTCGAAGGGCAGCGCGCTGGGGCCGCTGTGCGCGCTCGGAGCCTCTGTGGGTCCTGTTTGGGGCCAGAAACGGCAACGTATATCCTGCCCGCTCTGGCGGCCCCCCCCTGGCGGGATTGAAAGGGCACGAATCCGTGCACACGGTGCTGTGATCGAAAACCATGCCCGCTCTGGCAAAGCCTCTCTGGAGGGGTGGGCAGGGCACGCAACTTTGCACATCACATGGTACACGAATGCACTACCCGCTCTGGCGGGGCCCCCATGGAGGTGGTTGTAACGGTAGTGACGGTAGTGGGCTTGTTGTAGTAGTAGTAGTAGTAGTAGTAGTAGTAGTAGTAGTAGTAGTAGTGGTAGTAGGAGGAGTAGTAGAAGTCGTAGTAGTAGTAGTAGTAGCAGCAGTAGCAGTATTAGTAGTAGTAGCAGCAGTAGTAGTAGCAGTAGCAGTAGCAGTAGTAGTAGTAGTAGTAGTAGTAGTAGTAGTAGTAGTAGTTGTCGTAGCCGTAGCCGTAGCCGTAGCCGTAGTCGTAGTCGTAGTAGTAGTAGTGGTAGTAGTAGTAGTAGTAGTAGTAGTAGTAGTAATAGTAGTAGTAGTAGTAGTAGTAGTAGTAGTGCTAGCAGTAGTAGTCGTGGTACTGCTGGTAATTTGTTATTCGGAATGCATGTTAGTAGCGGCTCTGGTAGTTGGAGTGGTACTGGTGAACATGATTGTGCGAGTAGTTGTGGAAGTCGTAGAAGGAACAGTAGTAGTCGTAGTAGTACAAGTTGTAGTATTACTACAAATAATAGTAGTGGCCGTAGCAT